TGTTTCTGGATTTATTTCTCTAGTCAACCCTTTAACACAGACACATAATGTCTATCTTAAGATATTAATCCATCTGATGATTCACAAAAATGATGCACTTTCTATAGCTGCCTATTTAACTTAAATAAAAAGTTATTCAAGTTACCTATAGTAATAAGAGTTCAAAGTATGGTCCATGATGTTTCAAAGTGATGGAAAGACCTCATGGTTTACATATATATATTATAGGTACATACAAGGGGAGACCAAAAATTACCTGGAAAAAAGCTCTACCTGAGCGGACCTTTCATAGGAAACATTTTTGCTGCAAGGCAAGCATCAAGGAACTCGGTCCAGTGGTGTCCCCTGGGAAGGTTCTCTCTGCTCACAGTGCATTTTTTTGTAAAAGTAGTTTCACTCGAACCTTGTTTTTTGATGGCCAATTTAAGAGAACAGCATGCAGCTGTGAAATTTTGTTTCCAGCTCAGGAAAAATGCTGCAGAAACTGTTGTGATGTTGAACACAGCTTTACAAGGACAGCACTATGGGAAAAACTGGAGTGTGGGAGTGGTTTTCTCCTGAAGATGGGGCTGGTGGTTTCAAACTTCTTACTTTGTGGTTATTAGCTCAACACCTAGCCCACTATGCCACCACAGATCCCTACTAATATATATATATATATTTTAAAAAATTCACTGCCATAGATTCAATCTTGACTCATAGCAACTCTCTCTTGGTTTCTGAGGCTGTACTGTTTATTGAAGTAGAAAGCTGTCTTTCTCCTGCTGAGCTGCTGGTGGTATCAAACTGCTGACCACACAGATCACAGCGCAATGCATAAGCACTAAACCATCTGGGCTCCATAGACAGACAGACAGACAGACAGACAGACAGAAAGAAAGATAGATTAGATAGATGATAGATAGATAGATAGATAGATAGATAGATAGATAGATAGATAGATGATAGATAGATAGATAGATAGATAGATAGATAGATAGATAGATAGATGATAGATCGATCGATCTAGAGATATAGATAGATATAGAGAAAAAGATAGATGTAGAGACATAGATAGATACATCGAGAGAATATACTTTACTGTCTCTATAAAATACTTTGCTATAGTAGAGACTTAATATTATCATTTTTTGAAATGTATTAAAAATAAATTTTCAGAAAAACATTTATTTTATCAAAGCCTATCTAATCAGTGATATATTAAGATTTTCAAGTACTTAAGCAGGAAAAATATATTATCTTGCTCTTGATCTTATATGCAGTTCAAACTCAACTCAATAAAACAAACCATCAAATAAGTATAAAGAAATCCAAAAATGTTTTCACTTTTTCCCTATAACTACTTTGATTTTTATTTTAAGTATTGGATTTTTAAAAATTAGGATTTCCTGTTTTAATGATGACCTCAATACTGCTTTACCTCCCTCCTATTGATAACCAAACATTAATTTATTTCTGTATTAATATTTTCCTATATTTAATTATTTAAAAATAAAACTGCCATTCACAAGACACAGTTCATTTAAGTGGTTGCAGTCAACCACTTCCATAATTAAGATTGGTTTTAGTGATTGCAATTCAGTTCAAAAGTAAAATTAATGCAATAATGAGTAACTGTAATCACTACATCCTTCACATTGTAATACTGCCTAAATGTGTAATGATTTAGACTTCAAAGGGAATATTCGTAAACATTATATAGCAAGGGAAGTAAGAAGTCATGTTTGAACTTAATTTCTGGCTGCCTACTATATGTCAGACACTGTATTAGAAATGTATATATTATTACCAATATATGAACTAGGACCTCTATTTCTGTTTGAGGAAAGATAAAAAGAATTCAATCAATTTGAGCAAGGCTCACAACTGTATAATAAGTAGGAATTGAATAAATGGCCTTATCAGTTATTGATGATTAAACTTGCTGTGAAGCCTTACTATGTGTGTGGATGTGTGCTTGCAAGGAAGAGGTGTACCTTTTTCAAGGGCAAAAAATCCTGAGTGAATTACTCTCTCTTACAATTCTTCTGAAGTTATATCTTCATACTGTACCACCAAAACCCATCTTTAGTTATATCATAAGGTATTTGAAAACTCCTATCAAATTCTGTACATTAAAGGATCCTTCCAAATGAGAAGGATGAAGAAGCAGCCATAAGCTGATTGGTACTAAATTTTTAAAAATTCTTTAACAGTTATGTAAACATATCCTGTTGAGGGGTACATTTTTTCTACATATTTCTACACATGCACAGCCCCATACCTGACTTTTTCTGACTTTTCCTCTTTATGTCTTTTGAGGCGTTTGGCAATGTTCCATTAACTAAATGTCACATGTCCAGTGTAACAACACAGGTAAAAACCTATAACCAGAGCCTCGAAATTAATCCGTTCTTGTTTAAGTAGTCCTATAAAAATATATGCTAGCTAGTTCATTTTAGCTTAGGAGTTTTCCATCATGCCAATGAGATTTAAATTTTAGTTCATTGTTATATAACTGGGTGTTGCTGTTTTGCAATTCCCTAAACATATTTTTTTTCCTATTGCTAACCTAGCAATGAGTTTGTTTTTGTATTGTTTCTATATGTTTAATTCATGAAGGGGTAAGATGTGTTTTTGAAATATTATGAATATTAGTTACCTCTGCAATTATGTCCACAGAAAAATTATAAGCACGATCAGGCTGACCTTATCCCATTGCTCCAGGAAAGAAAACACAATCCAGGCTTGACCAACACTCCTTCCCACTAGTCTTATCGGTCGGTTCACAGATGGCACACAGTCCAAAGCCTCCACGCATGGATTTTGCTGAAACTTTGGAGGAGACCCTCTTTTTCATCAAAATGAGAACTCTAAGCAACAAGTAAGTTTAGAAGCAAAATTTTCCAGCCTCAGCGCTCTGTAGTTGAACTGGATAACAGTGTGTTCTGATTGACTGTTCTGTGTATTTCAGGGTCATTGTAGGATATTTAATAGGATCCTGACTTTTTATCACTAAGTATATCTATCAACTCCTCCAGCTCCCTATAAATCATGTCAATCCATCCCCTTACAGAAGGGTTGTGGGGAGGAGATGAGCCAGTCAGGGTGGGGTAACAGTGATGAAACATACAACTTTCCTCTAGTTCCTAAATACTTCCTCCCCACTCACGATCATGATCCTAGTTCTACCTTACAAATCCGGCTAGACCAGAGGATGTACACTGGTACAGATAGGAACTGGGAACACAGGGAATCCAGGACAGATGACCCCTTCCAGACCAGTGGTGTGAGGATCGATACAGGGAGGGTGGAAGGAGGGTTGGGTAGAAAGGGGGAACTGATTACAAGGGTCTACATATAATCTCCTCCCTGAGGGATGGGCAATGGAAAAGTGTGTGATGGAAGACGTCAGACAGTGTAAGATATGAAAAAATAATAATTTATAAATTACCAAGGGTTCATGCGGGAGGGTGGAGTGGGGAGGGAGGGGGAAAATGAGGAGCTGATGCCAGGGGCTTATGTGGAGAGCAAGTGTTTTGAGAATGATGAGGGCAATGAATATACAAATATGCTTTACATAATTGATGTTTGTATGAATTGTGATAAGAGTTGTTTGAGCCCCCAATAAAATTATTTTTTAAAAATCATGTCAATCAGAAATGCCTTCCCACATTACTGAAAGTCCTTTATGAACTAGTTGTGGACAACTGGTTTAGAACAATCATGAATCAATTCTGTTACCATGTTGACATGTTTAAGAATGGTATTTATAGGAAACAAAATCAAAAGATAATAAGAGACAGAGAAACTCAATAGCATATTTTTAGACCCTAGATCCAACTATGCTTAAAGAGAGACCAATTAGAATATCAGGATTTTATTTAGCAAATTGAAAATTCATGGAAAAAATATACTAGGGACCCTTTAATTGTTTTTTATTCTGTTTCTAACTGAGATATGTAAAGGAAACACACACACACAAGAAAATTTCAAAAAGCCCAGAGAAAAATTCCATTATCTATTAATTCCATTTTTCCATTTACTTTTTGAGGTACCTTTGATTGGATTTATGTGTATGTAAATATATATCTGTGTAGTGTGAAAAAGAAGAGACAATGAATCTCTTTTTATATAATAGTAATGAATGTATAAGGTATTTTAAAAGGTGAATTTTTATTTAGTTACAGAAGAAAATTCACCATAATCTTCAATACAAAATAACTTATCTATTTTATAGAATTTTCTTAGTAGTAAAATATGCTTTGATATAATGAGTAATTTCAAACTTAAATGTGACAAAATACAAAGTCAAATATCATGTAGTGATATGAGATAATGCCAGAGTGTTTTTTCAAAGAGAAAAATTTATTAACGTTACAATTGAGAAATTATAATATTTTGGTCCCAAAGAAATAAACATCTTAATTTAAACAAAATCACATTTCTTTCTGCTTCAAATTCTATTTTTGTTTTATTTTTCATCTGCAATATTGAGTCTATGTTTTATACATATGGCTATAGATATCTCATTTCTACTCTAAATATTTGAAGCATATTATCCTAGAACTGAATTTTCATCATGAAATCTACAGTTTTCATCATCTAATATATCTATTGTTTATTAAGTTGGGACTATAAATTGAAAAAATTTGTTGAGAAATTATATACCTAATATTATATTAAGATGGAAACTTAATATTTAAGATATTAAATCACCAGATACTATTTTCTCTAAGACAAATTTATGTCCATATAGAAAAATATACATAGTTTCTTTATATTTAATGACAAAAGTAATAGCTTTTATGAATAAAATCATAGAGAATAACAGATGCTAAATAATATTTTGATCATTATTCATATCAAATTATTAAATATGAGAGCCTCAAACATTTAAAGAAAAAAATTCCATTATCTTTAAGCTCCATGTTTACATCAACTATTAGAAATGCCCTTTTAAATAAATAAGCCTCTCATCAATCTTCATAATGTAATGGATAATGAGAAAAGTGACTTACATGATCAATTAGTTCACGAACCATTCCATTCCATTGTCCATTGGCATCATCCTGGGCTCCATACTTCCCGTCCTCCACAAGTCTAATTTCATATGTAAAGCCAAGAATTGTAGAGAGCTCTCTGAGAAGGTCAATGCAATAGCCCTCAAACCGGTCATTTCCATAAAGAGGTTTATCAGACTTCTTAAATAGAACATAGGGTTCTTCCTAAAAGCAATAAACATAAAGATAATAGTGTTAATTACTTATGAAACTGACTATGAGGATTTTGGATTTCTTAGAACAGAAATGTTTACATTATCAAACTTAGGGCAACAAATCAATTAAGGTTTTTTTTAACTTGTAATTAATATAGTTTAATATATTAAGAAGGGATATATTCATATTACTAATGAGATATCTGTACTTAACAAGAAATATAAAGCTATACTATTTTACTATTATAATGTGATACAAATGTAGTATAGAATATAATGTACTATATATCTTATATGCATGCACCCCCCTTTATCTGTTAGTTTATTGCACTGCAGTAGCTTGTGTGCCACTGTAACGCTAGAAGCTTTACTACCAGTATTTTAAATACCAGCAGTTGCGCATGGTAAATGGGTTTTAGCTAAGTTTCCAGACTAAGCACAAACTAGGAAGAAAAAAGTGTTTTCCACTTCTGAAAAATGAGCTATTTCTACTATTACAAGTAAGTAGAAGAACAGTGTCTAATATAATGTCTTAAGTAATGCCAGAAAATAAGTCCCTTATGTTGGAAGGCAAACAAAATACTACAGAAGAAGAGCTGTCTCCTCAAAGCAGAGTCTATCTTAACAAAGCATTCGGAACCTTCATTTGTTGATGGCACATACTTAAAACAAGAAAAAAAAATCTGTAAACATCCATTAATAATCAGAACAAGAAATGTATGAAGTATAGATCAAGTAAAACTGTGAGCCATCAACAAAAGAAATGGAACAAATAAGATCAATATCCTAGGCATTAGTAAGTGGAAAATGACCATTTTGAATTGAACAATCATGGTTTTCTATGCCAGGAATGACAAGCATAAGTGGAATGGTGTCCCATTCAACACCAGAAAAAATATTTCAAGTTCTATCTTAATATACATTTTATTTCTGTGATAAGATACGATTGATGTGCCTACAAGGAAGACTGGTTAATACAACTATTTTTCAAATTTATGCACCAACTACTAAAACTAGTGATGAAGATATAGATATAGATTAAGAAGAATTCTACCAACTGCTTCAATCTGAACTTGATCGAATATGTAATCAAGATGCATTAACAATGACTATAATTACTGGTGATGCGATTGGAAAAGTTGAAAACAAAGAGGAAAGGCAGTAGGTGGAAAACATGGCCATGGTGATAGATCAACGATGGAGATCACATGATAGTAATTGGAAAGAGTGACCTTGGTGGCATTGTAGGTGGACATAGCTGACCTCTGCAGACCAATCTATTGCACAAGGCAAGAGTTAGCCATGCCCCCCTGGTCCATTCTTCATTCCCAATTCTGACACTAATAGTTCCTCCAATGCCATTCTACATCTACGCTGGGTTCAACAATTCAGTGTAGTGGCCACACAGATCTCATGTACAATACTCACAATTAAGGGGATTTATTTGGCAATTCAGAAAGGATACGGTCATTGGTTTCCTCAGCAGCAGCCAAGTCTCTCCATTCTTGTCTCTCAGCCACATGGTCCTTTGGTCTTTGCCTCCTTGGGCCATTAAGGCAGCCTATCTATTGCTAGGTCCCACAATTCCATGGCCTCTGGCTAAATGAGTAGATAGCACCTATGGTCTCCATGCCACTCCTCTGAGTGCCTGTGACAGTCTCTGATGTATCTGGTCTCCGTGACCTCCACCACTTCAAACAGAGATCTTGAATTTACTCTTCCAATGTCATGCCCAAGTCCCATAGTCCACACAATCATTTGGTCGGAGTTACAGAGATTTAAGTAGAAGAGTCATATTAAGATATTTCACTCCACTATATTAATGATGTCTTCCTTGCAAATACCCTTTTTCAAGAAATTAAATGGCAATTATATAGGTGGACTTAACCAGAAGAATACACTGGAATCAAATTGATTACATCTCAGGGATGAGATGATAGAAAAGCTCAACGTTACCAGCCACACAAACCAAAGCCAGGGGCCAATTGTGGAAAAGACCAATAATTGCGTAGATATAAGTTCAAGGTGAAGTTGAGGAAAATGAAAACAAGTCGATCAGAGCCAAAATACAACTGAATCTATCCCACCTGAATTTAGAGAACACCTTAAAACAGATTCTACACATTGAACATTAAGGACTGCTACGAGCAGACGGACAGTCGGCTATCATCAAGAACATCACACATAAAGGAAGCAAATAGTCTTAAAAAAGCAGAATATAAAGGAGAGTATTCAGAAGATATTCTGAAACTCCTTTTAAAAATAGAGTAGCTGCTTTCCTATCTCGGGCTGCTAGGATCCAGCTCATGGGTCTCAGGAACCAGAAAACTGAGTGGCTCATCGCGCCCCTGAGGCTGCCTCTGGTGGCTTTGCTGCCAGCACCATGCCATAAAACGGACCTATCTGTAAGCCCACTGGTCTCCTTTGGCTTATCATGAGAAAAAGAAAGAAGGAAAGTAGACAGAACGTTCAAGTTAGACAAAAGAGAGGATTGGTGTGTAGGCCAAGCTCTACCTTAAGCAGCATCAAGCTAAGAACATACAAATGAAAAAGACTATCAAGATTCACAGAAACGCCAAACAAAAGAACGATGAGAGGACTCCACAAGCGCCAGGCCTAGCTATCTGCTCCTGGACAGGGAGGGACAGTAGGGCTAAAGTACTTTCCAATGTGATTAAACAAAAACAAGAAGAGAAAGAGGGAAAATGGGAAGTCCCTCTGCCCAAAGTTCATGACCCTCAACCTGTGGGTCATGACAGGGGTCACCCAAATTAACAGTAGCAAAATTATAGTTATGAAGTAGCAACAAAAATAATATTATGGCCATCAAGCTCAGAAGCAACAAAGCCCACATGGAAGAAGCACACCAGCCTATGCAACCACGAGGTGTCGAAGGGATCAGGTATACGGCATCATAGAACAAAAAATCTTACTATAGTGAATGATGGGGGGAGTGCGGAGTGGAGATCCAAAGCCCATTAGTAGGCCACTGGAGATCCCCTTGCAGAGGGGTCTCGGGGAGGAGATGAGCCAGTCAGGGTGCAATGTAACTACTAAGAGAAATACAACTTTCCTCTAGTTCCTAAATGTTTCCTCCCCGCTCCCACTACCATGACTCAAATTCGGCCTTGCAGACAACTTTCCTCTAGTTCCTAAATGTTTCCTCCCCGCTCCCACTACCATGACTCGAATTCGGCCTTGCAGGTCTGGCTAGACCAGAGGATGTACACTGCTACAGATAGGAGTTGAAAATACAGGGAATCCAGGGCGGATGAGCCCTGCAGGACCAGTGGTGTGGGTGGCGAAACAGGGAGGGTAGAGGGAGAATGGGTAGGAAAGAAGGAACCGATTACAAGGAACTATATGTGACCTCCTCCCTGAGGGACAGACAACCGAAAAGTGGGTGAAGGGAGATGTCGGACAGGGCAAGATATGACAAAATATCAATTTATAAACTATCAAGGGCTCATGAGGGAGCGGGGAGCGGGGAGGCAGGGGAAAAATGAGACCTAATGTCGGGGGTTTAAGTGGAGAGAAAATGTTTTGAGAATGATGTACAAATGTGCTTTACACAATTGATGTGTGTATGGCTTGTGATAACAGTTGTATGAGCCCCTAATAAAATGTTTAAAAAATAATAACATTATGGTTGGGAGGTCACCACAACTGAGAAACTGTATTAAAGGGTCGTGGCAATAGGAAGGTTGAGAACCACTGTCCTAGGGGAAAGTGAGGTTCTAAAACTATTTCAACAAAAAAAGGAAAAAGAAAGCATGGAAAAGGCTGGTTACTACAGTTTGCTTTGTTGGGGGTGACTTTACAGGGAAACTACCAAAATATGAACAATTCATCAGACTGATGGGCTTATGTTTCAAGAAAGCAATCATTATGCACCCTGGACTTAAAGCCACCTTTTGCTTACCAATATTTGGTGTAAAGAAGACCCCCTCATCCCCTCTGTATACAGTGTTGGGCACAATTACCAAATGGACAGTCACTGAAATAAGTGAGTGAGCTGGGACTGGTGACGCAAGGAGGCAAGGTGATTTGGGAGAAATATGTTCAGGTTCCCAACAATCCTGAAAACGATGGGTTTATAAATGCAGTCTTACTGGTTTGATGCCAGTTTCCTACAAGGAACACCCACCCCTCCACACACACACACACACACAAACACCTTTATTTGTGAGGACAACAAATTCATCAGGAAAACCATGAAAATTATCTTGTGATTCTGAGTCCCACACAACACCGTACATATCTGACATCAGAAAGAGAACTATTTTTAAGAAAAACAAAACATGAAAATGCCCCACTTGTAAAAAACGTAATAATACTAATAAATCAAATTGGAGTATCTAATGTGACCGGCAGAAATTATGAAGTAAAAAACTAAACAGAATTTCAAAGAGCGGCTCAAGCAAACAAAGTTAAAGTATTGCATGGAAATCTGCAAAGGTCTATTGAATAAGGGAATGAATAAAAGACTGACTATTTGCATACTCTATACCAATAATTGAAGTTGGGGGTTTATTTATATTATTACATTTTGTCCTGACAACTACAAAAATTGCAACTACTATTATATTTTATTATATGAATAAAGTAGCAGTTTACTTAGAAATCTAAAGGTGGTGGGTGGGGAAACAGTATGGTAGTTAGATTTTATGTCAACTTGAATTCATATGAAAGTGTAGGTGTGAGGTCCAACCAATCAAGAAGGGCATAGTCTAATGATGCCTCCTGGGAGGTTTGGTCTTTTTATAAGCGAGATGCTGGGAACCCCTCCCCTCTCTTCCTTTTCCTCTTCTTGCTTGCTGGGATGCTGTATCTTCCTCCAAGGGTGGCTCCATGTGGACCCCCAACACAGAGCTGTTGTCACTCTGCCATTTTTCCAGTGACCTTGGATCTACGTGATTCTGGCCTGTGGGATCAGCCTGGAGCTACATGAATCTGAAGGGGTTCTGGCCCACATTGGATCTGTGGACTTAAGTTGGACTGGGCTGGGAT